TAGGCATGTTAGAAACACGTCAATAAACGAATGGTTACCATGGTCAGATGGCAGAGCCATAAGAGCTTATTTTAACGTCTGCTCTGTTTCAAGTGTGAATTTAAAGCACGTGGGCTCATTGCTGTTTGATAAACTACCAAGAAACTCAGATAAATGCAGTGCTATCCATGGATTTTACAACTTCATTTTGCTGATTAAAGTACACCACGTACCCCAAACATACAGTTTTTAAATCATAAAACTATTAACAGATTTCTGTGGTTTTTTTGCCTTTTTAAAAAATCCCTGTTCTGGGAAAACCAAACAGTTCTACGGCCATCACCTGCGTGTCTATGAACTTTGATTAACATTTCAGGGAACAGCTTAAGGCAGTCTTATGAAAAACGTATCTCTATATTTGTGACATTTCAGATTACATCCCCTTATTGTCTTCCCTGGGTGAATATCAGCTTTTTGTCCTAGTTTTAAAGACTTCTTAATGAAGGCCCATGGCTCCATGGCTTCCTGCAACTGTAGGGTGCAGAACGTATCAACACTATGCAGTGTTGAAGCAAAGATCGCAGAATCTTGCTGGGAATCCCAAATGGCCTTTTATTTTGCATATTTATTTGCTAACAGGAAAAAAAAAAAAGAAAAACAAGAAAGAAAAACATCCATACCTCTGCTGGCCTCCAGACTGACCGTAACTTCCAGAATCTAGAAAAGAAGGAAGTCATATTGAGAATTGCTAATGGGTGTCTTGTTCCTCTCGACCTGATATCAAAGGCAGAAGTGTGGGGAGAGGGAGGAAGGTGCAGTGAACAGGGGGACCACTCTCCCAGTAGAACCAGGCAGCTCCTTCCTCATCCTCAGACAAGAGGCCAGGCGCACACAAGCACGGCGTGTGGAGGACACCTGGCTTCACTTTTGGAAGTGCCTGGTTCCATCTTCACGTTTCCACATTCCTCCTCAACAGCCAGGACTGTACAACCCTTGCTAATGGCTATCGAGTGCAGTGCCATCATCAATGAACAGAAAGCAGCTGCTTAATTAATCCAGCAAAGCTAAGGAGGTCGGAGCTACTGAACCCCACTTTAAGGTACCACACAAAGCAAGGAAGTGGAACTTGGAGATGTAAATCAGGGATGAAGAAGCACAATATTTCCCTTATTGATGGCTCCAACCACGCGAGAACAAATCCATTATACAAGCTGCCCAGATAAATTTAATGAAGATTATTTCCCAGTAATGGGAAACATCAGTTATCGTGGAAATTGACTCCTGAAGGACAATTACATTGGATGGGTATTTCAGAATACAACTTCAAGGAAAACAAACAAAACAAAAAAGGAAAATTACACCATCAACAGCATCACTGAAATTGTTTGACTTGTATTAAAGCAGAGCATCTAGTTTATAAAAGCTATGAGTGCTACAACAAGGCTTACTAACTCTAAGAAACCCTACTAAGCTGGAATTCAGTGCTTAAACAGGATGTTCTGTCTTGACATTAATTTAGCTCACCACGTTATATGTCTCGTTAATTGCAGAAAGATGGCTCTCCCTGGCTAAGAGGGAGGGGAAAGCCCTGTTCCTACAGGCACAAACACAGCACAGCATACCTTGCTCCATCAGCTTCAAACCTTTCCAACGCCACCCCAACTCCTGCCACTGCCACTTGACATTTCTATCTTCCACCTTGCTCCAAACCCCAAACCCTGGTCTCCCTACAGCCTCAGCAGTGCCGTCCCTCTGCGGAATGCCTTGCAGTTCTTCTAAGTTACCCCAAGAACTTGTACAAACATCGCAGCACCGTGGCCTGAAACCAGCTATCAGAATTTCTGCTTTCATCCCCGATTTCTGTTTTCTCCATCTGTTTCTATGTACATAACCTCTACTCCAAGAACTGACTAAAAAAAGCTGAAACTGAGAGTGGGTTACAGCGCAGAGCAAATGCCATAAACTATAAACGAACAGCAAACACACAGCAAATCGCTCCAAATCTGCTCGTCACACCTCCCTCATCTGGCTATAAATCTGTTCCTGCCAGTACTTACACTTAAACTCAGGCACTCAGCCAAGACCAGGATGTCACCTCAGCTATTCAGACCCAAAGCATCTCCACAAGGCACCAGAAAGCATCACACTGCAAGAGCAATGCTCAGCAGAACCTAACAAGAGCTGCAACATCTGATCTCACATCTCACAGTGTTTTCACCCAGATGTGACACATTCTCATCATTTTCCACCCCTACACAAATATTTTGTTGCTTTTTCTTTATAAAAAGCAAATGTTTACCGTTTTTAACAAGGCAAAGGTCACATCTTTTACATTATTTCCATTTGAATGATAACAAAGCTTATTGTTTAATAGGCTACAGCGCTTTAAAATGATTGCTTCGCTACAAGTTTGGCATATGGTTTGTCTTAGTTTCAGCTGGGATGGAACTGTTTTCTTCAGAGTTCCTACTATGATGCTATGTTTTGGTTTTAGGAGAAAAATGATGCTGATAACACACCAATGTTCATAGCTGCTGCTAAGCAGGGCTGTACAGAGCAACGGCCATTGGAAGCAAAGGGCCCAAAGAGCTGGGAGAAGGGGAAAAAATTGGGAGAGCTGACTGAAACTGGCCAAAGGTGTATTCCATCCCATGACATCAAGGAGAAGGAGTTCTGAAAGGGGTGGGAGTTCATCTCACTTTCTTCTGCTGATGGGGGACCAGCTGGGCACAACTGCTTGCATATCACTTGTTATATACATTTAAATCTATTTGTCATAATTATCATCCTTTTCTTTATCTTAGTAAATAGCTTTATCTCAATCCACAAATTCTATTTTGCTGTTCTCCATTCTCTCCCCATCCCATGGGGAAAAGGGGGGAGTGAGCAAATGATCACACGGCGCTCAGTCACCTGTCAGGTGACACCACAACAACGTGAATTCTGTCAATTAAATAAAAGAATATCAATGGTTGTTACAGAAAGAATTCTTGGGCGAGGATGTAATTACCTATAAGCACAAGAACTACAATTGACCTCCATTTCTCCCTCCCTCAGAAACTTCCGCCAAGCCACAACAATTTGGGAAGAGACTAAAAGCAACCAGATAAGGAGCCTGTAAAATACGAACATCTCAAATCAGAGGAATTTCCTTTATTTATACATTTTTTCTCTGTGCTGCTTATCCCTTCTTGGGCTGCTTAGTCTACAGCCTTCTGATTGATTTCCTTTGGTGGGCTCAGCAGGGATGTGAGTTTTTGGAAACAACAGAGTTAACTCTGGAAAGTCCTGGATGTGCAGTGACTTCTGAATGTAGAAACAGCTAATGGAAAAATTCCCTGTGAGTGAAGTGGGATGCAGCTTACAGTAGTGCTCTGGAGCCATATTCCTCTTAAAAAAGAATATGCAATGCATGCCTCAGAACTGAAGTTGTTCTATGAGGTGATTTCATATAAAGAAGTGGCAGCTTGCACAGCATCCTCAAGAGAAAAAGAATCTCACCACAGAGTAACGAGGAGACAGGTCTGGTGCTTGGTTGGTTCCTACCTGAGGTCTGGAAGAAAGTGTGTTTAGTTCACTTCCAAACTTCATTCATTTGGCAGAAGAATCTGTGGTCTGATTTCACACTGCAGTACCTTTGAATGTGTTTTCTTCTCATTGCAAAGCACTGCTCCTTGCACTAGGAGCCCTCTGGCACACCTTGCTTGGTTTTCTCTTACATTCACATATTCACATTCCAGCAGACCACACTACAACAGGTCAACCCTGATAACTGAGGGCTAGGGGCATTCCACACCTGTGCAGGAGAGACAGAAAGGAATGCTCCCTCGCCAGGGCTTCTGCTGCTGGAATCAAAATGGGACCTCACATCCAACAAGGTGAAGAAGTGGCACCACAGCCTGATGGCAGAAGCCCCAGGGAAAGCTAGGGGGCATGGGCAGCAATTATGGGGCACAAACTGGGAGAGGGCAGGAAGGCACAGCCCATGCAGGTGGGGACACAGCCCCAGGGGAGGGTTGCACCCCATGCTGCACGATGCTCAGAAGAGGTGGAGCAAATCCCATTCTGTGGAGTGCACAATCCAAAGGGGAGAGGGGGAGGAGAGGATATCCCACGGGTGGAAGGGCCAAGACCCAAAGGGAGAGGAAGTCACATCCTATGCTGGAGGTGCATGATTCAAGGGGGGGTTCACATTCCATGTTCAGAAGGGGCAAGATCCAAAACAAGAGCAATCACATCCCATGCCGGGGGTTCACAATCTGGAGTTATGGGGATCACATCCCATGCAGGGGGTGCACAATTTAGGGTTGGGGGATCACATCCCATGCTGGGGGTAACGATACAAGGGGGATAGCTCACATCCCAGCGTGGAGGTGGGCTGTACAAACCAGAGCGGGGCCCCACACCGAGCGCAGACCCCTGCCCAGGAGGCGTGGTCGCACAGACCCCGCCTCCAAAGGAAAAAGGGGCGTGGCCCAACCTGCCCGCAACTGGGGTCTCTCGGGAGGGGGCGTGGCCTCCGCGGAGAGGGCGTGGCCTCGGCCGCCATTAGGGGGGCGTGGTCCCCTCCCCCTCCTCGCCGGCGGAGGCGCGCGCGGCGGGCGGTGCGTGCGGAGAGGGGGGGGCGGCGCCCCGTTCCCTGCCCCCGACGCGGCCTCCTCCCCCAGCGCCCGCCCGCGCCGCCTCAACGCGGGAAAAGCCGCCGTCCCCTCCCCGCGCCGCGCCCTCGGGAGCACCTACCCGACGCCATGGCCGCTGCCGGGCGTTGCGCTGCTGGACGGGAGCGAGCGGCGGGAGCGAGCAACGAAGTTAGCCGGGACCGAGCGCAGCGCCGGCCGCGCGCACAGTGAGGCACCCGCAGCTCGCGCAGACTGCGGGGCCTGGCAGCCAATCAGCGAGCGCGGCGCGTTCCATTCGCGCGGCGGTGCGGGGGGGGAGCGGGGAGCGGGGCGGGGGCGGTACCAACGTCTGGGGGGTGCAGGGGGAGCCGCGCTGGGATCCGTGAGCGGCGGGGGGAGCAGGGCGCGCTTGGACGGCACCACTTCGTGGCGGCGGGGGGAGACCGAGGGACTTTGGGAGCGGCCGGATCCCAGCCGAAGAGGCAGGGCTGTCGGTGTGTTTCAGGTAATAGGGTTTCCTAAAGGAAAGCCATATGGGCGGAGCGCACAGTGTTCTAGAAAGCCACGTGTTGATTCGGGGAGCAGCTTTCTGAGAGAAGAGATTGTGATCTGGGGGCTTATCAGGCAGGAGAGAAAATGAGGCTTCAGAAATGAGGTTTCATCAGGGATGAACAGAAATTAAAGCAATTTGATTGCAGCAGAATGGGTTGATGGCTGAGTTGGGCTGTTTCTAAATCCCACTGTCGTGGCCTGAAGTTTCTGCAAAGCGAATTGTGACTGGAATTATTAATTGAAAAAAAAGAGTTGCTCTATGTAGAGCCTTTGAATCTCCAGTTCCAAAGCAATTGAAGTATTTGTATTGTTGGATGCCTGAAGGCGTTCAAGAGCAGCTTGGATGGAGCCCTGGGCACCCTGGGCTAATAGCAGATCTGGCTCCGTGATGGTGGCTCTGCCTGTGGCAGGGGGTTAGAATTGATGATCCTTGGTGTCCCTTCCAACCCAAGCCATCCTATCATTCTATGATCAGTGGAAAATGGCACTGAGACAATAAGTTACTGTTTTTATTGCCTAGTGGGAGGTCGGGGGTTCCTGATAGCTCACAGCAGGCTCAGAGGGAAAGCTCCTGCACTGTGCTCTTTCTTTGCTCCCCCCAAAATGCTGGAGTTGGGAAAAGAAATTGGCCCTTGGTCCCTGAGCATTCCCCTCATCCGACAGCTCCCAACAGTATGAAACTTTATGAGATGGCAATGTCCCCTGCAGACCAAAATAGAAAAGGAAAAAAAAAAAAAAAGAAAAAAAAGAAAAAAAAAAAAAGTATGAAAGGTTAAAAAAAAAAGACAGTCGCCATGGTAACGGGGTACCGCAGCGGCTCGCGTCGCCATGGCAACGGAGAAGGCCTTCCGGCGGCGACCGGAGGTAGGGCGGCACGCGGCAGCATGGCGGCGAGGTGCGGCCGCCCTTTGGCTGGCTGCGCTCTCACGCTGCTGCTGTCGCTTGGCGCCTCCGGGCCCAGCCTGCTGCGGGGTTCCCTCGCCTCCCACCCCGGTGCCTTGCGGCCCGCCGCCCTGCGAGCCGGGGAAGGTGAGCGGTGCCTACGCCCAGCCCGTGTGCCCTTCCTCCGCGGTGCCTTTTGCCGTGCCCTGCCGCCGGGCCCTCACAGCACCCCAGGGCTCCTCTCCCAGTTCCCTGTGCTTCCCTATGTCTGTGTTCGTAGTGCATAGTGGGGGCACGCTGCTAAGAGCTTGGCTGGTTGCTCTCTTCTCACCCTGTGCTATTTCCTGAAGGAGCTGATCATTAATTCCTCATCTTGCTGCAGTGTTCAAGCGGTGTGGTGTGCTGAATTGATGGTGAAATCACTGCCTGTCTGGGGCTGTCAGGTTATGCTAAATGATTCTCTCTCCTGTATTTATCCTGTAGTTGGAAGGAGGGCTTTGGGAGCTTCTTGGCATGCCCAGAACTGCTAACCAGAGGGCCTCAGGGTGTTGCTACTAGCTGATAATCTCCAAATGTTTTCACTTATGAGAGAAATCTCTCTGCTGGCTGTTTAATTAGTATTTTTTTTTTATTTTTACTGCAGTAGCTAAAGCAAGAGAGCAAAGTCAGAGTTAAACTGTAGCAGTCATTTTTATGCCTTCTGCCTTCTAACGAGGCTGATATTTACTATAGAAGCTATTGCTTTTTTCCAGGCACCATCCCAGCAAGCAGCAAGTCAGTCCATCTGCCTACAGTACCCAAGATAGCTCTTGTTTTAGCCGTCTTTGATTCCTTACTCGTAGTTTTAAAGGCCTCAAGTTCCCTCTCTTCTGCAACAGGATAGATTAAAAAAAAAAAGGTTGATTAATCTTGTAATCTGTCTCCCTCTGCTTAAACTTGTAATTGTAGCGGGTTAGGACAAATTCATTGCTGTCTCTGCCTTTCTGACACACTGGCATGCTCAGTTCACAGGCTGGTTACCTACATCTTTGTCTATGAAGACCTGATATCCTTGACCTGTGGTGCCATTGTCATCTGGTATTTTGCTGGCAGCTTTGAGAAGAACGTTGGCACTGTGAAGCACTGCTTCCTCACCATTGTGTTTGCCATCCTGACCGGCCTCCTGTACCTCTTACTTGAAACTGTCATCTCGAGCGTGTCAGAAGTGGAAGATGCCAAAGGATTCATGCCTTTAGCTTTTGCTACACTGAGTGTCTCCACCACCCGCTCGCGAATGAAGCGGACTCTCTTCTTTGGATTTAGAGTTCCAGTGATGCTGGTGCCGTGGTTTCTGCTCTTTGTGGTGTGGTTTATCCCCCACTCTTCTCTCCTGAGCAACCTGTGTGGGCTCCTGGTTGGGAAAGCCTGTATCCTTTCTGAACATGTAGCCCTAAATCAGTGTAAGATTGTTGCTTCATGAGGAGAGAGGGTGGTGCAGTTCTTGTGGTCAAGATGCATCACTTTATGATATTTCCTGGGCTCTTTTTCTCATCACACCCAGTTCTGCATTTCTTTCTCATCCCATGCTTCTGCTGTGGCTTTAAGGTATGCAGAGAAGATGGAGATGAGAAGGCTGATGGTCTGAAAGGGCGACACTAACTAGAACCGAAGAATTCTCCAGGGAAACTAGTTTGTGGAGTGGAAGAGATGGTGTGTTGCAGTGCAAGAAATGAGAGCATTTTGTCAGTGATCCTCCTTAACGTGCTGCTGACTTCAGATGGTCTTGGTTACTGTTTCTGCTTGGATATTCCAGAGTCGGTGGCCTCTAAGCTGGATCAGAGATTCCCTTTCAGTGTGCTAAAGAGAATACCAGGGCTAAAATACATCCCGGGGTCCTCAGCTGAGAGAAGAGCCACTGAGAACAGCAAGTAAGTACTGGAGCTCCTATGAAATATCTTGTGGGAGATTTTTGAGGCATTAAATCACCTTTAAAATCTTTATTGTGCTGGTCATGTTCCCATATGGGATGTTAAGAACAGGAATGTGGGACATCGGTGTTGCCGTGGTATTGCTGTGATACATCATCACACATGAACTCAGTTTGCTCTTTCACTGGAAACTGAGTTGAGGTGAAACTCATTTGCTGCAAGGCTGCTGTGTACACATGTTAAATGTATTGCAGCTCCACTGACATGAAAGTAACAGGAATTCTGGTGCTTGTTTCTGGCTGAATTGCTCTCTGGGATGTGATCTTTGTCAGTCTTTGCACAGCTTCACCTCCCAGGAATGTTGGGATGTTTGTCATATCCAAACCTGTGTAGGAGCAGCACATTATAAATTGAAGATATCACACAGGAGACCTTTCAATGCATGTTTTCTGTATTGGGGCAAAGTTGATTTAATGAAAAGGAACCGTGGCACTGGAGTTGACATTCAGGAATGATTATGCCACAAGCAATGAGAACTCATGCAAACTCTAAAACAACTCAGAAGTTGAGGTCAAATTTTTCCCTACCCTGAGATGTCATTTCAGATGGTTTTCTGCTACAGGTTAAGTTGCACGTTTTGTTGAAGCCATCAGCTTATTGTAAAGCATTCTTTGAACTGGAAGCATTTCCAGGTGTTTACATTTCCCCTCACCTGAGGGGAAGCCATGAAACAAAACCTTGCTGGTAGGAAGAATGTGCCCAGATGCAACCAAACTCTGCAGGAGTGCTTGCAGGGGAAGCCAGGCAAATCTGGGAACATGGTGACTCTCCCTGTTTTAGTACTGCTTTAGGGAGGAGGGAATTTCTCACCATATGCTGAGCCTGTGTCTACCTCAGCCTAAAGCTTCTGCTGTTGTGCACAGCACTGCCTTAACTTGCTTTCTTTAGGTGAGATGACACAGACTGTTCTGGCTCAAAGGTATTTGCATAAACGTTTGATTATCAAGCAGGGTGTGGGAAGGTGTTTCTAGGATGTTTCCATTTCTGCAGCTAAATGTGTATGTCTTTGTGTCTGAAGCACAAGTTCTATACTTGTTTCTGGGGCTTAATTAGTTACTATTTTGATTCTTATACCTAAATATGAGTTCTATATGTGTGTAGGTTTGGTTTTCTTCTTTTTTTGTTTGTTTGTTTGTTTTTGTTTTTTTAATTAATAAGACTTCAGACACCAACTTCCCATCAGACAGGAGGCATTTCTGGGACGTTTGCTCTTTTCCATCAGGCTTATGGCCACAAATGAGGTACAGGGGAAATAAACTCAAGTCCCCAAACCCCAGCATGAGCCAGTTTCTCATTTTTCCTGGTACTCCCGTGATGTTTGTGAATATTGTCTTGATTCTCTGCACTCATTTAGTGATGTACATGGGCTGAGCAGTGCTCTGGAAGTTACCAAGACTTTGGCTTCTGGGTGAGGTTTTCACTTGGTGTGTTTTGGTGGGATGACACATGCCTTCTGCTGGCAAGGGCTGTTTATGGACCTTGCTTCTGAATGATTCATTTTATTTGCAACTCTCTCTCCTCCTTCTCTTTTGCTCTCTACCCTGAGCTGCTACTTCTACTAAAGGCCTTCTTGATAACTAACACTTGGCAGCTGTGACTTCTCCTGATTAATAACTTAGGTTCAATGGAAGGCAGAGAGGATGTCTATGGAAATTGTAAAAGCATTCTGTGGTTTGGCTGGCAAGTTTCTCACATGAAGAGACTCCAGGCTAAAACCCTCCTCGTTCTGTGGATGTAGAATTAGGGTGGGTCTGGTGTAAGCATATCTGTCCTGGGTAATTAGTAAACCTATTTTTACTCAAATGCTACTTGTAATAGAGAATCTCTGATGAATTGCTGTGACCTTTCTGAGCACCGGTCAGGAGGAAATCAACACCCAGGGCACTTCCAGCACTAATTAGGCAGTGACAGTTTTGAACACAGTATAGCCTTCTGTTTTCTTCTGTCCAGGATTACCCCGCTGCCTGGCACCTATCCCACTCAAAGCTACTACTGCTCTTCACCTTCGACTCTTCCAGCCTCCCAGATGCAGCACCCTGGTGTTCAGAGCCAGGGCTTTCAGGACAGCTGCACACCAGGATTTGGCCATGCTTTGGGACACGTGGGACCTCAGCACAGCTATGCAAGATGCAGCCTTGTTTCTTCCCCCTACCAAGCCAGAGGTGCCTCTGCTGAGGGCTACATTCAGTCCCACACTGGATCCTCGCCTGGACAGTGCTGCCAGACAAGCAAGTTCTCTGTGCCACAGCGCGTGTGTCTGACTGGTCCACAGTCACCTGTTGGCCTGGACCTCCTGGCTGGGGTTCAGCAAGCATCAGGGGATCCAGCAGCCTCAGCAGCTCCTGTTCCAGCTGAATTTTCCAAAGTTCAGGTGTACTGATCCTCCAGAAAGCAGCAGGACTTGCAGCAGCAGGGAAGACGGTGTGATGCTCACGGAGCAGCAATTGCTGGCACTGTTGCTGTCTCTGAGGTGACTACCTAAATGGATTACTTTAATTCTATTTCCTTTTAATTTTGATACTACTTTTAGCATTGTGGAGGGAAGGAGACTGGATTGCCTCTCCACATTTCTAATTCTATTGAATACTTTTCTCATTGTAGTGTTTAGCAGCCTTCTTCCTCCACACAATACCTACAGTTTCAGAGCCTCTGTCCTCCAGTTCAAGGTAAGATGGAAGCTAATAGTCAAAACACTGGACTAATCTGGGATTGAGCCATGCTGCAGAGATAAGGATACATCCCATCTACATCAAGGCTCTTAGCTTCCTATCTTGTTTACATGTGTGATGTAGTTAGGGCACAGAAGAAGGTGGAAGCATGGAAGCCTTCGTTTATAAGTTAGCATCTGAGTGAAGAAGTCTTTCAGTAGTGATTTCTCCACTGAGGGTACGCATTGAAGGGGGCTTATTAAGGCAGGGCTGGGACAAGGAGAACAGAATAAAGAGCACCTTTTTCTGTCCCCCAAAACCCTCAAAAAACATCTCTTAAATACTGAGGTGCAGTCTGTGCACTCAACAACACGCTGTTATTTCTGATAGCTCCGCACTAGCTCAGCCTTCATAGCACTAATAATCATTTGAGTTGGAAGGGATCCTAAAAGGTCATGCAGTGCAACTCCCCTGCAATGAACAGGGTCATATACAGGTAGGTCACCCCTGCACTTGTCAGCAAGGCAGCCTTGAATGCATAAGAAGCAGTGGAAGAGTCTTTAGTAAGGGATTGTGGCCATTTGTGCAGCAAATATGCATAAAGCTGAGAGGGACATTAAAACTGGGTTATAAGAATTACCTGGAACGTAGCTTTCCCATTGGGGATGTTCACATTTTTATCTTTCAGTGTGTCACCCACCAATATTGGCACAATCACTCTGTGTTTTCTTTAGAGATGGTAGAAAGGTATATGGGAAAGAGGAGTTTTCAGCATGGGATTCAGAGCAGAGTGTACCTTTTGGTGGCTGTGGTAGTAGCACAAGTGTTTATTTTAGGTGGTAGCACTTGGAGAGCCAGAGCTTTATTTCCCACTTTGTGGTGGCTTTACTGTGCCATGCCTAGGAGGAATCTCTTGTTTCTGTGATTGTGAATCAAGCAGGATCTCAGCTACTGCAGTTGATTCATTACTTAAAGTTTTCTTCCCTTCCTCCCCCCTTTCCCCCCCCCCCCAAAAAAAAAAAAAGTTATATGTAACACAGAGAGACATTTCTGCCCTTGGAAATGTTTTGAACATGCCTAGCCTGTCCCCTACAATAGCCACAGGGCTCTTCCTGTGTATCAGGGAGCCAGGGTTGGAAACAGCATTGCTGATGCATGAGCCAAAGCATGTGCATGCCTCTCTATCACCTTTCCCCCTCTTCAGTGTCTGAAGAAGCCACGTGTTGCTGTACAGCCACTTCTCCAGCAGCTCTTCTGGGAAAACTGCCACAGGTATGTGTGGCTTCACAGGGACTTGCTTTGGGGGAAGGCCAAGGTGAAGGGAGAGGGCTTGAACCTCAGATTCACGACAGTAAGAAGCTCCTTGAAAAGACAGAGGTGGGGCAGAGGCTTTCGGAAGGAAGATGCAATAATTTGGGAACAGGCTTGTGGTGGGATGCCTGGAGTTGGTGGCCAGCTCCATCCCACTCCTGATTGTTTCACCCCTCCCTGGGTCTACAAATGGTTTCACAGTCTCATTTTTCCTGAGCTGCTAACAAGAATTTCATTGTTAAGTTTTGTGTGCAGCACAAACAGGATGAGGCTCTTGTTTGGAAGTTAAAAGGATGTCTTCAATACCAGGAAAGGACTGCTAGAGATAATCATTGAAATGTTGATGTTCCACTCTGGTGCCTTGATTTTCCTCCTCGTGAGATCTACATAAGATGAGATCTTGTGAATTTTATCACTGTGCAGAAAATACACTAGAGTGATGAGGACTGTTTGCAATGGTAAATGTTGTGTATGATCAAACTGAAAGCTTGAAATACAGTCTAGAAGACAAACTGCCACATGTCCTGGTTTGCTGTCAAGTGGGGAGAGCCTCTGGATGGTGGTCTCAGTCCCATGGGGACAGCTGGGTGCAGTCTGCATGATAGGCTGGTGGCAGAGGACACACGTTGGAGAAGAGTAGCACTGCACATTGGAAAATGCTTGCGGGCATGGAAGCTGGTTATTTTTATTTGCTGACTTTTAACAGTTGATCTGTTTCAACTCTTACCAGTTGCAGAACCATCAAAAGGATGGCATGGTTTCCAGTGAGTAGTTTCATGGCATGCATTAAGTGGTAAGAAGTAAATGTTGGCTTCCGAGAGTCGCTGCTTTGTCACTGCAAGCAGCAGGAACAGCCCTGACTGATAGGTGAGGGGAGAAGGCAGAGGGTCTCCTTACAGGAATGAAGGTGGGCTCCTGCCCATGCAGGAGGCAGCAGGGACCAGCCCTTAACCCCTCTGTGCTGGGTGCAGGTGCCCACTGCAGCTCTGTGGGAGGGACATCCTAGAAGAATGGGGGCAAAACCACAATTTGAGTTTTTTTTTCTTCTGGCTCCAGCTCTGCTGTCAGCTTCCTGAAGATCTTGGCATGTCACTTGGTCTCTGATCACTGCAACTACCACTGTGACCCTGGGGCTGCTCTGAGTCCAACTGTGCAACTGCCCTGTGCCCACATGGCACTTGAAATGTTCAGTGGCCTTCAGACAGACATTTTGAACGACACAGATGATTTCTAACAGTCTGTTACCTGCCTTTCCTGAGGGCAGTTGTGACAGTTAAACATTGTTGTATAAATCAGAGGAGGACCTGCTGCTTTTCCAGCAGTGGAGTTCAACCAAGTCCCATTTCCTTAGGGCTGGCAGTGGGTTCAAAGGGGAATGGAGAGAGGGACAGGATGGGATGTGCAATTGTGGCTGAAGGCTGAAAGAAGGAATTGAAACTCGGGAGAGGGACGCAGAAATCATCTGTTCATCCGGCCTTGGCATGTGTCTGAGCTCACAGCAATGCTATGGATCACAAATTGCAGTACCAGCTCCCTTCCTTGGAGGGGAGATAAAGAATTGAAGTTATTCTTAAAAAAGAAAGGGGAGAAAAAATAGTGACAAAAAAAAATCAATACAACTCCAGGCTGTCCTAGAGAACATACTGTCTCCAAAGGTTTGTTCTTCTGGACCTCCAGTGCATTCCCAGTACAGCTGGCACTTCTTCAAAGATCAGGATTGATTCTCTCCTGGAAGCAGGGCACAAAGTGACTCCGGGCTGAAAGGGCACAAGCCAGCTAAGCTGGTGATATCACAGTCACCGTGCTAATGGGTCAATATTCCTCTTATTTCTGTGCTTCCCAGTTGCTTATTTCTCTCTGGCAAAGCCAACGTGCGCAGTTATCCAGGCCTGGGTGACCACGCTCGCTGTGCCCACGTACGCTCTCTGCTCAGCTGGAAACAGGCTTGTCAGGTCAGTGCCTCTCCCTGCACCTCTTCTGACCCCTCGGGTGCCCCCTGCTCACCCACATGGACTTTGTGCCTTCTCTGTGGGTGTTATTGACTCTGGTGTGAGTGTCAACGTGGTGATAGCAGCGGGACCATGGACTCGATGTGCCTGCACTGTGCTGCCCGCACCTCTTGCAACCAGGAGGAGGTGGGCAGTGCCAGCTGGGCTTTGCAGAGGAGAGAGGCTGAACGTCATGCCCTAACCTTTGGCTGGTTCATGGGTGCTATGGGGTGTGAAAGGCACCACCGTGACCGCTGTTGTCATGCTCCAGTGGGGGTTCTTTGTGCATTGCAGAAGCAAAGTCCCCCCCAGGACTCCTCTGTGCCTCTCATGCATCCTTGCATTGGGGCCTTCAGCCCAGCAGTGTTTGTGGCTGTGGTGCAGCTTTACAAAAAGAGCAGAGCTGCAGAGCCAGGTCTTGGGAGTCAGGTTGTGAAATCTCTCCTGCCAGGGACGTTTCTTGTGCAATGCTGCTGCCAGCAGCATGGGCTTTAACAGAGGGCTAAAAGCATGGTTTGAGGTTAAATTGCACGTTAAATCTGTGCACCCATATCTGCTTGTCTATGCATCTGTGTGTCTGCCTGTACGCCTGCTTATATGCCTGTGTATGTCTGCGTATCTCTGTATGTCTATATATCTGCCCGTGCGTCCGTGTATCTATATGCCTGTTTATGTGCCTGTATGCATCTCTGTATCCCCATCCCTTTGTATGTCTATCTGTGTCTCTATAACCGTGTGTCAGCGTCCCTATATCCATGGCTTTATGGCAGTATACCTGCATGTCCATCTGTCTGTATGTCTGTACCTCTGTCGCTGAGCAGCGTAGCGTGGCTGCCGCGCCCATCGTCATCCTTCCTGCGACCTCGGACCACCCCGTGACCTTTGCGCCGCGCACCCTCCCCGCTGCTCTGTCCCTTTAAGGCTTCCCCAGCAAGAGGCGCGCTGGGGCCGTACCAACCTCGGGGGGAGGCGGGGGGAGGCGGTGAGGGGTGTCCGCGCAGCCCGCTCGCAGCCCATTGGCGGGAGGCGGGGGCGGCTCACGGCTCTCCCCGCTCTGTGCGCACAGTGGTGCGCGCCGCCCTACGTGCCGGCCGCGCCGGGCTGCGGGCACCGCCAGCGTCAGACGGCACGGGAACTGGGCGGGTGAGGGCACGGTGGAGCGGGTGGCGTGCCGAGATTGGGGAGAGAGAAGGGGGCTGTTTGGGCGTGAGGGGTCGGAGGTGAGCGGGGCCCGGTTACGGGATGGCTGAGGTGAACGGGGCCATGGTGCGGGGGGGCCGGGGGAAGTGAGGCCCTGCGATGGGGGGCTGCGTTGTGATCCTGGGTCCCGCCGAGAGCGCTGCTGCTTTTCTGTCTATGGCTGCCGTAGGGCCATATGGGATGGCTGTAAACTAAACGAGGGGGGTTAGGTTGGGCGCTGAGGGGCGTTCTTTGCTCAGATGGCGGTGAGGCAGCACAGAGAGCTGCGCCCAGCCCGGTCCGATGGGGACACCCAGAACACAGCAGGGCTGCGAGGGCCGTGACAATCCAACCGGTGCCAGGCTGCTGAACTGTGCTGGGGGTGAAGTTATCCCCTAGGGAACGTGCTGACAGAAGGAAATAATGGGAAGTCTCGTGTCTGGGGTTGTTAAAGCAGGAGGGGGTGAAGACGCCTGGTTCTGGTGTTCGTTGGGCATCAACCATCAAGCTGGAGGTGGTTCTTAGCAGGTCTCCTTGCTTGTTGGAGTGTGCTTTGGTCCCTGGGTTTGGTGTGGGTTAACCTTCAGGACATAAAGGCAAATGATAACACTTGGTGGAATGCATGAAGAAGGGTTACTTAGTTCTGCTTAGTCTGAATGAATCTGGGAAACTGAAATGGGTTTTGGCTTTTACAGCTGTTTCTAAGAAGCAGTAGCATCCTGTTGAGAAATCAGAAGAGCACAAAGGTGGATCAGGTCTCTGCTTCTAAATTTGGAAAGTAAAACGGTGCTCATATCGATGAAGGCATCTCCCCTTTGCAGTGCTTTAGGCTTTGTGTGGCCTACAGTGAGGAGCAGCGCGTGCATCTTTTGCTAATTAGAAAGGAGGGTGCTGTCATTTACTTTTCCTGTAGATCTTTCATCTACTCATCAACTTTAATGAGCTGTGCACACACAAACACGCTTGTGGGTGAGTCTGCTGCAAGTGAGGAAACTGGTGTTTGCTGGGCAAGGGCTGGTGAGTTGGGCTGCTCCTGGAGAACCTAGTGTTGTCTCAGTGCCTGTTCTGTTGGGTTGATTGCTCTGAATCCAGGTGTGCACAGCGTAGAGCCCCCAGGTTTGGGGCTGTGCTGAAGGAGTCCTGTGTGTTGCACGTGGATGTGAAAGTGCAGAAAGAGGTGTTTGCAAAACGCTTTCCCGTGATGGTGGGGAAGACAGGGAGGAAACCAACACTGCAGGAAAAATGGTGGCAACTGAACACTTTCACTTACTCTCCAAGACTTTTACATTGAACGAGTAAGGAGAAGAGTGGGCAGAAAGGAGGAGCTAGTGCCACACATCTGGCTTAACACTGTTAATTAGAGTCCTGCCCTAACTGACAGGAAAATCTCTTGTTATGTCATCACTTTGCAGTTGCCTCCTTTTCAATCAATAATTGCTGGGGTGGTGCCTAGTCTGAGTTGAGCAAGGAGGTGGTTTCTACAACTTTTATTTTTCTTTCTTGCAGGCAGCTCGACAGGATTGTGTGACCACACTCCTCATCTTGTCTTGAGGGAAGTGTTCAGGGCTTCTTGCTGCCCTTCGTGTTGGAGCTTGTGGGTCCCATCAGTATTTGCTTGCAGAACAGCAGGTGCAAGGTAATCTGTTCCTTTTGAGCGTCACAGGTGGAGTATCTGTGGATGCACTGGGTTTGGAACGGATGGCTGGCAGCAGGAGCTGACAGGCTGGGAGCTGGGGAGTGATGATTTCTTTACGCAGTTCACCTGCAATAAAAGCAACACGTGGAGCCGCACGTGGACTGAAATCCCCTTTGATCTTTACTCTCATGTTTAGCTGTTGAGACACAGCAAAGATAATGTTTGCTCTGTCCTGAAGGACTGGGCAAGATTTCCCTGCTCAGATCTGTGCTCTGACCATCTCCTCCCCATCTCTTCTCTCTTACATAAAAGAAAACCATTTGGCAGTTACCTCTGCTAACACTGAACTTTGTTCTGTTGCCCGACATGAGCTCTCCTACCTTTAAAAATGCAATTCTTAGAACTTACATAAGTTGCTTTCCCAGTGTGATCATTTGATCCGAGTGTCTGTATACATGCTATTGTTGAGTGAGTCATGAGCACCATAGAGGCTGGTGCACGCCTGCCAAGATTGTTTTTTGTGGAGTTTGAAATTTCATATAACAGGACAAATAATTACAGGCTGCTCATAATCTCTTGCTGCTTCTCTCCAATTACAAGCTGTTTGTTATCTCTTTCTGCAGTTCAAGTCAATTACGTGCTACTTGTCATTTACAGAGTCCATAAAGTGTGGAAGAGGAGTGCTCCTATCTCTGGCTTTTGTAAGGCCACAAGTCCAAAGGGTAGCTGAATGTGATACACTGTGGCAGACTATTGTAGCATTCCTGCTTGCTATTGGCTGCTTCTGTGCCTCTAGTTATTGCTTTGCAAAGAGTAAAGTAGAATTACTGATTAATTTTCCTTTCCATTCTTCCTGAACTAGGAGTTGAGTAGGTTCAGAGTTCAAGCTCGGGTTGGATTTTTCTCCTTGGAAAATCTGGCTCTGTCAATACATGTGCAGATCTTCTGTGGAAGTTACCTGCTTGGGGTGTTTTTAGATCAATCTTGTGGCACTGGCAAGTACACTGGATGTTGCTGCACAGTTATTTGTGGAATGTATCTACTGACTTGCTTTCGCAGGTCATTGCTAGCATCTCTTGATTCTAACTAACTTGAAGCTTTGGAGGAGCAAGCTGATAAAATGCCTGCAAGGATTGTGCAAGCTGTGGTTGTGTAACAGGGCTGTGTGCATACATACTTGAGGTAAGAGGAGCAGCTATTCTGACAAAGGGAAAGAAAAACTGCGTGTCAAGTATCTTCTGTTTATGTTGACCATACTAGAATGGGAGTGTGGAGTTGGAATGTTGTGAGTTTTATAACTTGAGTTCAGTCATTCAGCCAGTGGCCCTACTTACTCCCGGCCTGTCTTGTCTGCTGTTCTGTGGTCTGATGTCCCTTTCTGGCATGAGGATGTCAGCTTTGGGTTACAGAGCTGATGTTCTGGGGTCTGCTGGCACTGCCTGCCTGCACGTGGTCGTGTGTGTCTGCAGGGAACAGAGCTCAGGAGTTGCCTGTGTTTCTCAGGTGTTCAATTGGAGTGCCTCACCCACAGAGACAAAGATGTTCACTGGGGGACTGTGCACCCTCCTGGATCAGCCAGATGTGCAGTCTGCTTCTGGGGCCTGGGGGACAGCTTTCACAGAGAGTTTCCACGTGGTTGACAGCAACGTGGCCACGTGCAAGGATCGTGTGGTAACACCTCCTGCCCTTACATCAATACAGAACGCAGGTGCAAAATATTTGAAATGCTTCCACATCCTCTGGGGAAAGCTACCTTACAAGTACAAGATGTTCTGGTTCTGCACAAATACCACAGGGTTTTCTTTAAGTAAATGAGTAACTCCCCCCAAAATGTATTG